CCGAATATGTAGGGTTCTTAGACTCATTTTGTCCCATTCATATTTGTCTCCAGTGAGATGTTCGAAAGGACATTGAAGGAATGAAATCTATATAACTTATTGTAGGAGGATATGAGAAGAAGCAAGGGAGTGATTATATATATATATATATTAGTTTTTGATAATTCATTTTATTGTGCCTATTTATTCAAGTGAGACAATAATATAATCAAATTTTTTAATTAATTAACTTATTTTTAAAAGTTAAATTATTCGAATATATTTGATAAACTAAGGTTTTTACTGTTTATCATATTCTTTAAATAATTTAGTTGTCATCTTCTATTAGAATTAATAAAATTTTGTGGAGTTTTTATCAGTTAAAGTATTGAATTCTTCAAAATAAATAAATAAATAAAAATAAAAGGCCCCTCGTTACCTGTACTCGCCTGGGGACGAAATTCCTCGCCCCCATACCAACCCGATTACTTGATTAAGTAGGTAATCTACGCCCTTTTGGGACAGGATCCCAGGAGTATCGAGTTTGAGGAGTATTTTTACCATCTCTACAATTAACTCCATAAGTGGATATGAATCTATGTTTAGGTGATGCCGAAATTGAAGGAGAGCTCATAAATAACCAAGCACTTAACTTCCTACAAGTAGTCTTCAATCTTTGCTCATTGTTGCACATATTATTCTTCGCTTATTATAATACACGAGTCTTTAACCATTTTTCATTCGCTTTCTTGTCATCAATATTTTATTAATCAACACATTTTATTACTCTTGAAGGTATAAAAAAACTTATTTGTCCACCATATTTTTAAAAAACAAAAGTAATAGATATAAAAGTACACCACAATATTTGCACCCATTTTAAAGCGGCATCATATGACAGAAACCATTATTAATGGTTAGATGTCTTAATTAATAGAAGATTGAAAAGAAAAAAATGGGAGAATAAAAAGGTGAGGACATAACATTTGGATATTAGAATTGAAAATAAAATGGGAGAATAAAAATTAATAGCACTACAGTGTCGATAGGTAAACCGTAGATTAAAATAGAACCAAACTGTGAATAATGGTTTGGTTTGGTTTGTTTTGAAAAATGAAATGGTTTGATTTTGTTTAGAAAAATTTCAAATTGCGTGAAATGGTTTGAGTCGAAAATATGACACATACTGTCCAAATCAAATCTCGTTCACTCCTAAGGTATATTGTTGTATTTGACCCATTTAATGTTTATTCGAAGTTAAATGGGTCTCGAAGTTTTTATTAATCAGTATATGATTTTTAAGTTAATTATATTAACTTCGATTCAAATTTTCTTTCTTTTTCAGGTCATAGTCAATTTTAAAACATTGGTAAAACGAAAAATATGTATTTTGAATATGTTGCAAAAGACAAAACTTTGGAATATTATACTATCGGTCCTCAATCTCTTTCTGTAGTTGTAAATTGGACACTAACCTTTGACAAGGAGAACAAATTTTGCCTACAGTTCAAAAATTAGTCCCTACTGCTAAATCATTAAAAACTTTGTTAAATCATCAAATTAACTTGGACGAGTGTCTAAAATTTAAAGTGAAAGACGTTTCGTCGTTTCCATGGTATCACATGCCAAATAAAAAAGTTTTGGACAATTTAGATTATTAGGAGTTATTATGTAACTAATAAAATGTTAGATACTATTTTGTTCTTTTTTAGAAGTTTGAAAAGAGTATGTCATGAATTAACATGTTAAAGTACGAATTGTACGTATGGGTTTTCCTATGTATAGATCAGGGCTTACCCTTGTAGTACATAATGCCAAAGAGACTCTTAATGTTATTGTGCAAAATATATTCACCCTTCATTTTTTGGGATTTCAACCCTTATTTTCAGCTTTCATTGCGGAGAAGTTCCTTTTGATC